CAGTTATATTACATGTCACTTCTTTCTTACGTTATCATTTGTATGTCCCGCGGCGTGTGTAATTTTATGATTTGTAATTATCATCTTGCGCTAGAACGATTGGCACGTGTTGTAGATTGAAGGCCGAGTTTACATTTGGCGATCTCAAAAATTAACAATGATTACATTGAATTATTAGGTCAGTATGATAAGAATTCTGCTTTATTATTCGTAGGGGAAACAGCAATATAGCGAATTGCACGGGCCCATTCGCGGGTCTGGGTGGCGTTAAGTCCGGTGGCAACAACCCGATGAACCCGTCCCTCCAACAGCGCATCAGCTTTCTGCAGAGTCACCTAAGTCAAGCACCAATGCCTTCCGTTGCTAACAAGTGAGTCGTCGACAAGTCAAATTATGCATTACGATTGATTCCATTATAACGATTTTTTATGTGGCTCTTTACACATTGGAATAAACAGATGAATATATATTTTAGTGATTACGTGTTTTTGAAGTTTACATAAAAATTTGTCAAAATAACAAAAATTGTTTACTTGTATTAATTGATATTAATAATATTGAAACAAAAAATAAGATACATAATTCAATATTAAATTTGCCAATAGATATTTGGTCAGAGTAATGTAATATAACAGTAATGTAGCATAATAATGACGATCAAGTTTAGGAAGAAATCGAATCCGAGATTTCTCGAGATTTCTCGTGTTTTTGTTGATAAGGATATTCTCGGGAGGTTGCGGTGTCTTTTCCGAAAGAAGACACGAACATAAATATTTTGATTCCTACTAGAATCAATCACGAACTTCTAGATAGATCAGTACGTTATCTGCCACGCTCGTGCTCAAAATAAAATGTGAAAATAAAATTAAGAGTTAAAGGCTAATACAAAATTATAGTCGATCTTTAGTGTATTTTTCTTTGCTGTATTACAAAGCTTCCTGTTTTCATATAATTTTTTACCCAGGAGACGGCAATTGCCGTCAATCGAAGAGGCTTGGAATCTGCCGATTAGCGCAGAGATGTCCAGCCGGCAGCAACAACAACAGCAGCAACCCGGCGGACCTTCGTACAAATATGGTGCCACGCCGACTGGACCACCCCCGCCTTATCCTCAAGCTCAGGGACAGAATGCTAAGCGATTTAAGGTAAAAAAAAAAAAAAGAGAATATATTATAAAACAAATTTTTTTTCTAAAATCTAACTTCTCACTTATCTTTTATATATGTATATAATTTTTTATTTAATTTCATACAGTGTTTTATAAATAAATTATAGGTTCCAGTAAAGTATTTTGCAGAGAGTTCAGTTATAAATCAGAGAACAGACAATATAATTAAATGTTTCGACTTTGCATTAATTAAATTCAATGTTTCAGACCGACGAGGTGATCTCGGCCGTGCCGCAGCAACGGGCGCCGCCATTCTACCTATCGCAGCAGCAACTGCAAATGCTGCATTTCCTACAACAGAACATCAATAACTTGACACCGCAGCAGCAAAATGCGCTCGTCCAGCTGCAACATCAATACCGTGCGATGCAGCAACACCAACAACAAATCAGACAGCAGCAACAAGCGGGGCAACGAGGCGGCTTGAGGCCGGGACAGCCCGGTTATCCCACGGCATACGGCCATCCTCAGAACCTCGGCCAATCGTCGGGTGTTGTCAAGAATTATGGAATACCACAACAGCCGGTAAATATTTAATATCTCTTTTTTTTAAATAAAATTTGCGCTATTGATTATAATAAAGAAAATTACATATGATATATACTTCTTGATTTTTTTAATTATATAAGGTGTGACATATGTGTCACGTCGATGATGAATACACCGTTTCATCGTCAATCATTTTAAATAATCAACGTTTAGTTGCAGCAAGGAGGTACGGTTGCGCTGCAGACGGGCTTCTCCGACACTAATGTCGGCTATAATACGGCGGCGACCGGAAACACTACGCAAACACCAGGAATGCCTTACAAATCCGCCTCTGATCCCACTTATCCGCCGCAGAGGCAACCAATCACCGGCAGTGCCCAGTATAGTGGTCAGTATCAGCAACAGCCGAATCAGTACGCTGCTCAGGGTTACACGCAGGTCACGTCGGCGACAAGCGGTTACTCGGAGAGCTCAACGGCGACTGTGGCGAATAAGGACAATCTGGGCGTGACGGACCAGGAATTGCAGGCGCTGCTATCACAAAAGGACATAGCTACGTCGCTGGCGGAAGACCTGCTCAAGCACTTCGGTTCCGACGATTTGGAAACAGTCGTAAAGGAAGAACCATCGAGCGGTGTCATCAGTGACAACGGCACGTTGAGCTCCGGTCCGTTCTCGCCGTCGAATCTCGACGAGAATGCGGCGGCCAAAGTAAAGGAGGTGAAATTAGAAAAATCAGAAGAAGCGGCTTCTCAATCGATACAGTCTAAATCGACGACGGATGCTGCGACGACGATCATGACGACGACCGCGACGACGACTGTAACAACGGTGAAATGTGAAACGACAGCGGTGAAGTGTGAGACGACGACGTCGTCATTATCCTCTAGTACGACGATGACGACGGCATTGATAAACAAGAACGAATCGACTAATATTTCCAAGGCAGAGACGATGATGAATCTGAAACTCGAGTCGTTGTGTGAATCGCAACCAGAACAGGAGTTGAGCATTGAAATGGATGCTAGAGCGGTGATCGAGGCGTGCAAGGGTCGTGGTTTGAAAGGCGTGCCGAATTGCTCGATACTAAGCGATCGTTCACCACCGCCGGCACCACCGGATCCACCTATTCAACGAATACACTTGACGAAAGAACAATTATCGCCGCCTGCCCCGAGTGTCTTTCTGGAGAATAAAAAGGACGTTTTCGGTCCGCAGCTGCAAGAATTTTGTTTAAAACACCCGATTGCTGTGGTACGTGGTCTCGCGGCAGCGCTCAAGCTTGATCTAGGCCTTTTCTCAACTAAGACTCTGGTCGAGGCTAATCCAGATCACGGTATTGAAGTACGCACGCAAATGCAGCAAACTAGCGAAGAGAACTGGGATCCGACGCTCAACAAGAAAGTCTGGAACTGCATTAGCCATCGCAGTCACACGACGATTGCGAAGTATGCGCAATATCAGGCCTCTAGTTTTCAAGAGAGTCTGAGAGAAGAGAAAGCGCAGGGCGGCATTCACGCTTCCAATCTGTCAGATTCGGACTCGAAAGACAGCACCGGTCAGACGGTTCGACGCAAAAAGAACACTTTTGGTCTAGCCGGCCGACCGGGAACCAAGATGTTACGTTTCGGTACCAATGTAGATCTATCAGATGAAAGAAAGTGGAAGCCACAGTTGCACGAATTAATGAAATTACCGGCCTTTGCTAGGGTGGTATCGGCTGGTAATATGCTCAGCCATGTGGGCCATGTGATCTTAGGAATGAACACCGTACAATTGTATATGAAGGTACATTAAAACATATAATGTAATAAAAATTGTAAAACGAAACGTTTTACACATATTTGAATGATATTTTTGAATGTAATTTAATTTATATCTTTCTCTCAGGTACCTGGTAGTAGAACACCCGGACATCAAGAGAACAATAATTTTTGTTCTATTAATATCAACATTGGACCGGGCGACTGCGAATGGTTTGCGGTACCAGATGCGTATTGGGGCGTAATATGCTCACTCTGTGAACGCAACGGCATCAGTTACCTACATGGAAGTTGGTGGCCGAATCTAGAGGAATTATTCGAGGAGAATATTCCAGTGTACAGGTTTCATCAGCGACCAGGTGATCTTGTGTGGGTGAACGCGGGTTGCGTGCATTGGGTACAGGCGGTCGGTTGGTGCAACAATATTGCATGGAACGTTGGCCCGCTCACTGCCAGACAGTATCAACTCGCGATCGAGCGTTACGAGTGGAACAAGCTGCAAGCATTCAAATCGATCGTACCGATGGTGCATCTTTCATGGAACTTGGCGCGTAATATTAAGGTGTCAGATCCTCGATTGTTCGAGCTGATTAAGAATTGTCTTTTGCGAACGATGAGACAGTGTTGTTTAATATTGGAGTTTGTGAAGAGCAAGAATGTGGAAGTGCGCTTCCATGGCCGTGGCAAGAACGAAGCTTCGCACTATTGTGGCCAGTGCGAGGTATGTTTTCTTTCTTACGCTAATGATCTTAAAAATTAGCATTGCCTAGATTTTTCTTTTTTCTTTTCGGTACTTTAAAAAGAAAGTTTAATTTATTTAAAGTTCCTGTACACTCATCACTATTTCAGATTGTGATGTCAAAATTGAGAAAATCTTGAAGAATATATTGATTAAAAATTATTTCAATAAAATGACAATTGATAGAACTTATTTATAAAATGTATCAAAAAATTCTGCTCTTTTGTTAATAAATAATCATGTATCTGGAAATGAATTATGCATATGCATATATGTGTGTATACACACATAAAATGTGTGTGTGTATATATATATATATAAATGAAATAAGATATGTTCACAATTATAACAAACTATTAAATTAATAATATGTAGAAATAAATATGATTTAATTTCTTTCGAAACAAGATAGTAGTTTTTCAACACATTTTATAAGTTCATTCTATCTATTAATTATAAATGTGTTAAAAAATATTTTTATTCAAATATACGTATATATTATACAACGTATACAATATAATTTGCAGGAATTTTTATTATCTTCTCTCTTCTGTTAATACAATATGAAATAAATGTGGTGAATGAACAGGAGCCTTAAACAAGATTCTGTACAACTACAATTAGCAAATTAATATAAAATATAAAATTCTATATATTTCGACATCTTAGATATTCCTCTTTTTTATTAAAATTATCTTATACAATCGTATACATAATTTATATTTTAATTTTTATATGTATTATTTTCTACTTACATTTTTATATGCTTCTTTCAAGAAATTTATCATAGATTAAAAAGAAATGTTCGACTTTTTTTTGCAGATCGAGGTGTTCAATATCCTGTTTATTCGTGAACAGGAAAAGCGTCATGTAGTTCATTGCATAGATTGTGCGCGTAAGCAATCTCCTTCGTTGGAGGGATTCGTCTGTCTGGAAGAGTATCGCATGCGTGACTTGATGGACGTTTATGATGGATTCACCTTGTATACGCCGTTGGTCACCCCTACTAGCACAACTACCACTACTTCCTCGTCATCGTCGTCGACCGTATCGACGACATTACAGACACAAACTGGCCAGTCCTCCTGAGATTACATGCATCACATATATTTGGACTTCCCGAGTACATTACAGCAGTAGTGATCACTACCATCCGGGAAATGCGAATTCTTTCCGGATGGTAGCGATCACTACTGCTAGTGTTAGTCCTTTTTTTGTCAATGCGGGACGAGAAGACATTTCGTACGATAAGCATTATCCATGTACCTGAGAGCTACGCGAAAAGAGGCGGGACCGGCTCCTTGAGGGCTCGTAGGCGACCGTCCGCAAATATATATCGCATGAGATGAGGTAAAAGCATAACAATAATTTCTCTCGAAACATATACATATATATGTATATATCCACTTTAGGGTAAAATATTTTAAGTAAAAAATATTAGATCGATGCATTTTCTACTGTGCTTGAGTCTAAGAGAGAATGTGTGCTCTAAGATATTTGTTTTCTTATAATAACAATATTTTTAGAGACATGAATTTGTTACGCTTTTACTTCATCCTGTTATATGTATGCAAAACTGTGCATATATTAACGACATATATCTAAACCCAAATATTGATATAATTTCCTCTAAAAAAATGTGTAGTTGACATATTGGAGAAACTGCGACAAAGAGTCATTATACTTCTCTAAATAACCAGCATTGATTGAAAAGAAAAGAGCATACATAACGATCTCTTTGTCGCACATTTTTTCGGTCAATATATCAACTGCACGTCAGAGATCGAAAGTTCTATTTGATGTGATGTCGTTAATGTGTACATTATATATATATATATATACTTATGTATATTTTTATCTCAATTTGTGTACGGCAGCCTTTTTAGTATGCGCTTTAATCTGCACCCGATCATTGGAATTCGTTATTAGGAACGTTATTATCACGAGCTTCGTGAGCCGATCCCAAGGAAAGAAGAAAGACTAAAAAAGGAAGGGGGCAGTCTTTTCGGTGGACACGAAAACCGATTCGTACTGCTCGCTCGCTCGCTCGTTAGTTAGCCCTGTTTGTACAAATCTAACTTGCTTATCTATAAAAAGAATATCACCGTTGGTCGCTAGATTATTTCCTGTAAATATCCAACGGCGATCACGATCTTTTTTTATATAGCTCTCGGGTATTGGCTAGAGAAGAGCTGTCTCTTAAAGGACGTAATAGCGTAATAATCGGTCCGCGACATCGTCATGCGACTTTTAGCGTACTGGATATTTCTTTTCTCGGATTCGGCCTGCTTTCCCTTATCATTGTTTATTTATTATTGTAATTAACGATTTGTAATCATTGTAATATTGATTACAAATATCTAGATGTTAAGCGTTGTGTATTACGCGAGCAGTGTCGTGAAAATCTAAATTTCGTGTTTTGTTCTTCGTTCTCTTCGCGATTAGTCTGGGGTATAAGACTATGCATAATATCACAGACATAGATAGGCCGAGCGTAACACGCGAGATCTGGCTCTCACGTGCGAAAGAAAGAGAATCCAATTCAGATCTCTCTTCTCTCTTTAACAGACGAAGAACCTATCTCGTATGCGAAATCACAAAATCATGCCGGTGGTATGTTCGGTCTGTGTACTATGTCTATTACATAATACGTTCTCACTGCCACTTACGAAATCGTTGAGATAAAGTGAGAGATTCACCCTTTATCATATATATTAAGGATTATATAAGGAGGATTGCCTATCGTTAAATCATTGTTGCAAAAAAATACGTATAAAGGGATATTAGTGCCGTGCGTGGTACTGCTCAAATCATTTGTACATTTTTTTTAATGCAAATTAACTTTGAGATCAGGACTAAAAGAAAGAAATTAGTAAGAATGTCTCTAGAGTGTAGCATAATCTCTACTGCCAACCATGCATGTTATTTCCTGTTAAATGAAATGATCAATTATTAAAATTTAAGCGTTGCATGAAATTAAAGCCGCGAGTGTGGGCATAAGATTTAATACCCAGGACGCAATTGTCGATTATTATCCAAATTACAAACGTAGAAATTAAAGTAAGAAGTAAACGGGTCTGACAAAACGAATTAAAACGGAAATATAACAGATATAAAAGACCTACACTGTTAAAAAGTTGATGAAATTTAATATACTTTTAAGTTACACAACTTCAATTTAATTTCATAACATTACGTTAAATATAATATTTATATATAACTGAAAAGTATATGCTTGTGTACATGTACATGAAATTTAATATATTTTTCATGAAAATTTATGAAATTTAATGTACACATTCATTTAAGTAACTATTGTAACTTAATTTTCAATTAAATCATTCATTCACTTTTAATTTCGTTCATAACCAAGAGTTTTATTTACATGTAAAAGAAATTCATGGTTACTTTTCTAACAGTGTATGTCTATAATCTCGGAATTAAAAGTGAAATCTTCAAAATCAGGATTTCATCCAATTGTAGTTTCTCGCGTGTAATGTCGACTTCTTTCCATGAAATAAACATTATTTTTATTTTTTATAAAAATCATTCTTGCAATAAGGGGTTAACGTGTGTACGCACTGTGACTTTTTCTTTTAGCTAAATTCTCGAGCTCTAGACAAAAAAAAATAATAAAATAAAAGAAACAGATATGCGCGAAAATTACGCGCCTCTCGCAGGGCGATGATACGCGGAGATAATGTGAGAGGGCGAAATAAGATGTCCGAAAGGGGAGAGAATAGAGACAGACCGTAGAAGAGAAAGAGAGCTTCTTGTTCATCAGGTTAATCGTACTTTAAGACAACAAATGTACCTTCACTCACAGTCTCGTCAATTGATCACGGCGTTCACAGCCGATTTAACGTGCCAGAACGCTTATCGTACCGCTACTGTATATTAGCCCGACTCGAGGAACTTGAGGATTAAGAGTGGCTTTGCCATTGTTAAACTAATATTATACAGGAAGAAATTAGCAAAAACATAATAAAATTGAAGCACTTGGCCTGTCACTGCAGCTACCACTAGATCGAAAGACGAAAGAAATCACGTCATGCGTCATTTTACCTGTAAGTGTTCCATTGATACAAACAGATTTACTTTTAATTCTCAGCTCCTCGACCCCCGTCGCGAACAAATTATGCGCGATAGGGGGGCGGATGGCAGAAAAAGAAGAAAAAAAAGTAGTTAGCTCGCGCCTCGAAAAAGGATCATCTACAAAAGAAGCGATGTATTTTTTAATATCTAGAAGCGCTAGTTCTCCACTTCTCGCGAATCAGTAGTTTCGAAGAATTACGAAAGGAAGAGGACTGCCGCGTTCTCCTCTTATTTTCTACACTATTGTACTCTAGACAAGTTATAAATGCCTATAACATTCGCTAAATCAATTCATTGATCAATCTTTCTTCTTGTTACCTTCTGTTACCTTCAATCACTCTCTTCTGTAAAGCAACATATATGTTCAGATAGGTATGTAGGAAAAATGATCGTTTTATTTTAGGCCTGTTCTTTTTAGCTGAACGTTGAAAAGAAAAAGAGAAAAGATGACTTGTGTATATAAAATGTTCAACTAGAAAAAGAAGAAATTTCATAAATTCAACGAGTGTATACTAGTTCAGCTACAAAAGGCAGCATTCGGAAATCTATGGGTACTTTTATAAGGACAATATAGCAAGGAAAGATTCGAATACCTCATCTATTATCAATTCAGGATGATCTCAGAATATATTGATGTATAAAAAGAAAATAGTAGAGAAGCAATATCGCGTAACAAGATGTCCAACTAGATTCCCCATCGCGTAACCAATCGATTGATCTTACTTGATGGCAAGCTCAGTCTGACGTGAAAGAAAATTCTTAAAAGATTTCCGAAAGATTTTTAACAAAGTTCTCGAGAGATTAATTGCGAGTACTAATTTTATTTCGGAGGACTCCTAAGAAATTAAATATGGATCGTATTTTCATCTAACAAAAAACCTGATCTTCGACGATAGAAAAAAAGAGAGAAAAGAAACTCCAATTAAATCGATCTCACCTGCGGTATCCAGGAACTTTATAGAAATGATTCTTTATTCTACGTGGGTACCACTGACAAATACATAGTTATTCCAATTTGTCCCGGTGTGCGTCAAGAAGTTACAAGGAAAAAATTACAAAAATTCTATCTATTTTGGGATATCAGAATATACCTTGGTGATAAAATTTTTCCTCAGAATTTTTTATCATCGAGGTAGTCTTTTACGATCTATGCAGATGCTCTTGCAATCAGTCGCTAAATATATCAATTTGCACATGGCTTATAAACACATGGGAGGTCCCCGATAAGATTCCGATACGTTCGAACGAATGTTAAGGCATTTATGACACAATTAGCGTACAGCAATGACGACCATGCGCGACGCTTCAAGACGAAATGTAGGGAAGGAAAATAAAATACACGAGCCGTCGAGACAAGATCCGCGACAGAATATCTTCTTCAGGGGGATGTGAACAGCTTTGTTTCTCGTACATTTTAAATCGTACACACAAGCACGCTATATGATCTCAACTTTGCACGATGCCGGTGGAAAGAAGAAGTGATCGATATGTACCGTGTATTATTTTTCTGCCGGTAGCCGCAAGTTCCGAACTGATTTGACATCTTTCGATTAACGCTACTTCGTATAAATTAAATATATATATATA